GCTGGTGTAGCTCAGCGGATTGAGCGCGGGCTGTGAACCAAAGTGTCGCAGGTTCGATTCCCAGCCAGGGCACATGCCTGGGTTGCAGGCCATGGCCCCCAGCAACTGCACATTGATGTTTCTCTCTCTCTCTCTCTCTCTCTCTCTCTCTCTCTCTCTCTCCCTCCCTCCCTTCCCTCTCTAAAAATAAATAAATAAAATCTTAAAAAAAAAAAAAGAATGAACCACATACATGAAAGAGGTCCCGTAAGCTTATAACACAGGTGGGAAATGCCTGTAGCTGAGTGACTCCACAGCCACGGTCATGCCATAGTGAAATGCATTAGTCAGGTGTCTGTGGCCACGTGGTGTAAACAAACCTATGTGCTGCCAGGCATAGAAAACCATAGTACAGACAATTACGTACAGCACATAATACTTGATAATAACAATCAGGGACTAATTACAGATTTATGTGTTTAGTATACCTAAAAATCTTTTCTGTAAAACCCTGTGCCATGTGAAGCCAGCAGCAGCCTCATACAGGTCATGTTCACTGTGTGTACTGATGGCATTATTGTTTCTGGTTTCAGTAAATCCCACATAGTTCTATAAGTGCCGTGCAGCCGAAGTGTCCGGTGTTTGTAAAGTCTACGGGAGTGTACTGTGTGTGCAGTAACACCCTAGGCCTTCACACTCGCTCACTGAGTCACTCAGAGCAACGTCCCGTCCTGCAGATTCCGTTCATGGTAAACACCCTATGCCACTGTACAATCTTTAAACTTTTTATGCCATATGTTTATTGTAGGTCTTTTACGTTGACATGCACAAATACCATAGTGTTACAATTGCCTGCAGGATTCCATACCATCATGTGCTATTCATGTTTGTTCCACTGTGATACAGTCAGCCTTCATCCCATGTCTTTGGCCTTTTCCATGTCTGAGGGAGGTTTACACAGCCAGTCTTCCCTGATTTTACTTAAAAAAATCAACATTTGCTTATTTATGAGGCCCCAATCATGCTGTGAATGCCATGGTTTTGCAGCTTACTTGTAGATATGTCAGAAAAGGGGACAAATCTATGCATGATAGAATCTTTTGGACAAGATTGTGGGGAAACTAGACTGTTGCTATCCTACCAATCTCTCTCTGCCTAGACGTTAATACTGCATGCAGCAGTATGTATGTACCACCTGGGAAATCCTAGGAACTCCTTCTTAAAAGATCCCGCATTGTTTGGTAAAGCAACGAGCCAGCCTCCAAAATGTCATGCTTTATAAATCTAGATCTTCCGATAGAGAGTTCTTTTAAAACAGGATATGTGTGAAAGTGGATTAGCATCTCAAATACAGCGGTCAAAAATTATTTTCAAAGTATCTAAAGGACAAATGTTTAAGAGTCAGCTTACCTGTGTCCCAAATTTTCAACTCCAGATTTAGAAAACAAATGGTACTTCCTGTAGACAATGTTTTCCCGTCATAATAAAGATGACTAGAGAGCGGTGTTAAGTTAAATCTTTCTGTTGCTATTGCATCAGCCCAGCCAAAGGAAACCACTCTTGGTACAGAGCCCATTTCTGACTTCAGAATTCTAATCTACTTAGGGTATAGAACTCAGGGTAGAACTTAAGCTTTGTACACTTATCTATCTGTAGAACTACCTGAAATATTTAAATATTATGCGGATAGTTCCCATACAAAACAAAGGTGGCTTTCTGCAAAACCTTAGACAATATTTAAACTTCACTAAGCATTTTAAGAGTCTGTTCCAGAGCATTATTTAGCAAACACATTTCTCAGACAAATCCAAATCAAAATGGACAATTTCAGATCATACTTACCAAAGACACCAGGTTTCATTATGCTATAATTAACTGCCATTGCAACAACAATAGCTTTCCTATGGTTTTCCTCAGAATATTTTGACAATGGTATGCTGGAAATCACTGACATAATTCTATGCTAACGTTCTCCCCAGTTCTACTCGCCGTTCTGTATGGAACTTTGGACCGGAACATCTTGCGGCATTTCCCAATCAGTAAAAATCTGAGCCCGCACAATATGGAAATGCATTCACACACACACACACACACACACACACACACACACACACAAATATATATAAAGACAGAGGCAGTTTTCAGAGTTCTATAAAAGAAACTTCCCAAACTTGTTCACTTAGGTAAAACTTTGTTTGCAAGTATCAGAAATCAACATGTTTCCTGAACATCAAACGGAATCGCATTATAATATCAAGAATGATACTGGGCTTCAGGAAAAACTGGATCCTGGAGTTAGAAAGCTCGCAGAAACCACTTCTAGGTTCACTTGGCAATTCTGTGTCTCATCACTGCTTTTTTCTTGGGGAAGTGACTTCGCTCCTCTGACCACTTTGTGGAAAGCATGGCTGGCCTCCCCTAGCTACCGAGCTCTTATGGTATGGGTCAGCCAGTCAGAAACTCAAAGACCAAACAACATGGAAACACATTATTAGAAACAAAGATCAAGTTATGTTCAATTATTATGTTGTATTAGTTTCAGGTGTGCAGCACAGTGGTTAGAAAATCATAGTACAAAGTGGTGGCCCTGATATGTCAAATACCAGCCTGGCACTGTGCGGTTATTACAGCATTATTGACTATGTTCTTTATGCTGGACTTCACATCATGTGACTATTTTGAGATTTATCAATTTTATACTTCTTAATCCCTTCACATTTTTACCCAGACCCCTCAACCCCCCTCCTCTCTGTCAACTTCTCTGTCTGTTTTGTTCATTTTTGTTCTTTAGATTCCACATTTAGGTGAGATCACATAGTATTTGTCCTTCCCTGATTTCACGTAGCATAATACCCTCTAGGTCTGTCCATGCTGTCACAAATGGTAAGCTTTCATTCTTTTTTATAACCAAGTAATAGTTCATAAAAGATTTTATATATATATAATTTTCTGTCTGGAAAAAGCCCACCCATTGTTAATAGAATGAGAACACTGCAGAACAGCGTTGTAACCTAGCAGCCACGTCGAGTTCAAAATGACTGAGTAGACCAACGAATCAGCATCCAATTTTGCGTTAAGCTTGAACATTTCTCTGGGAAAACTATTTGGATGATTCAGAAGGCTGCAGCTATGGGTAAATGGTGGTTGGCAGCTTCATCACAACAATGCACCCACTAGTGCGTCATGTCTTGTGCAGACTTAGGGTGAAACATCAAACCACCCAGGTGACTCAGCCCCCTTACAGCCCAGATTTGGCACTCTGTGGCTTCTGGCTTTTCCCAAAACTAAAATCACCTTTGAAAGGGAAGAGATTTCAGACCATTGATGACATTGAGGAAACGATGGGGCAGCTGATGGCAATTAGAACTGTGTGAGGTCTTTGATTCTTTCAACTTGATGAGCAAAAAAATCTCTCTCCTGGTTTGGTCTGCATTTTCTTTATTGCTAGGACAGTGGGCGTCATTACATAGCTCCCAAATGTTCAATATTTCCAGAATGCTTAGGGTAGTACTACACATTAAAAGGTGATTTGCATTGAATTGTGGGCAAAATAATTTCAGTCTTAAAAATAAAAGAAATGCTATTTTTAAAAATATTTATTTTTAGAGAGAGGGGAAGGGAAGGAGAAAAAGAGAAAAAACATCAATGTGTGGTTGCCTCTTGCACACTTCCTACTGGGGACTTGGCCTGCAACCCAGGCATGTGCCCTGACTGGGATTTGAACCAGCAACCCTTTGATTCACAGGGCCGCACTGAATCCACTGAGCCACACCAGTCAGGGCAAAAAAAAAAATGCTATTTTAATAAGATGAAAAAGAAGAATAGTATTTAATATATATTAGAAATGACATTACAAAATTGGGAGCTAGAATTTCATCTTTTCAATCTCTACGAACAAATCCTCAGCTGAACTAGTCCAGTCTTATTTTCTTCCCCCCACCCATACATGATAATTCTAAATAGAACATTTCACTAATGCCGCTTGTTCAGCAAGTGTCCATCTCTAAAGAATATTTCTTTTAGGGGTCAACTGTCTCACCGATCGGAGGATTTACACATGCAGGTCCTATTCACATTAATAGGAGCTACCAGCATAAATCCCCGTGCCGTGATAGGCCAAAGACCCTATAGTCTTGTAGGATTCAACTTCGGATGATTACCTGTCAAATGGCCCTAAGGGTCATCATCACCAGAAAGAGCAGACGTGGCAACTTATATGGGAATGGCAACTCATTGCAGCCCTGGAGCTAGACTGTATTAATGGGAAGAGAAGTGACAAAATGTGACCCGGGCCGCTACGTGTTAAACCATTTCAGTGGCATTTTTAAAAAGTCACTATTAAAACAGAGAACTCCAACATTATCAAAGCACTTGTTTTAAAAAAAAATTCAAAAAATCTGTGAATACTGTGTGAGCTCCAAAGTGCTTGAAGGATAATAAAGCTACTTGTTTGAAAATCCAATTAACCTTATCTTTGTTAAACTTGATGTATTAATAATCTCCTAGATAAACTGCCAGTTTGCAAACAGTCCTGTCATTTTTTAATGTGTCCTGAGCAGCTTTAGAAACTACTTGGAATTGAGGGAAGATGTCACTCTGCTTTCTGTAATTATTTGGTTCAAGAACAAATCAGAGTTGAATGAATGACTTCTGCGTGAAAAGAAAGTCGTCAGTCTTGTCTGTTGCACGCAGGCTGCTGGGGATGCACGCAAAACAGGGTCGTCATTCACCAAGTAAGTGTGGAAACCATTTCAGACGCTGGTACACCAAGTGAAATGTAAGAACAGTTTGTAGGCAATCAATGTACTGTGAAGTCAGAGCCCATGGCTCACAGCAGTGATTTTAAACAGAATGAGGTCTGATACTGGCATCTAGAACAGTTCACTGGGTAAACCACACCCATGCATCAGTCGATTTCCTTTCTCGCAAACCAGACACGGTTGACAAATGCCTAGAAACAAAATAGAGTGCGCAGCTGGGCAATTAAGTGTTTAAATAATAAAATGATGTCAACAAATAAATCATTTCCAAGACAGTCTTTAATTTCTTGGCATATATACAAATCTTTAATATAAAAAAATAGGATACCACGCCCGAAAGGCATTGAAAACACTTTTATTTCCTTTACAAACTTACTGTTACAGTATGCAAATTATGAATAATCATATATTCATGCTTTTTCAAATGCATATAAGACAACTAACCAAGAGTAGAGAGATGAATGATTGAATACCAATAGTGGTAAATAACTTGTTTGGAAGAAAATGATTTCATTCCTGCTTTCAAGGATCACTACTATTCAGCAATCCAATTTCAACAAAGTATTTTGAGGTCTTTGGGTCTTGAGGAACTTCTCAAGTTCCTTCTAAGGAACTACGGCTGTGGTCGAAGTTAATCATTAGCACAGCCATTATTTTAGACAAAGGGCTGCCATTCTAAAGCTAATCATTAACCCTGTGATTTTACTACAGGAACTAAATACCACAGGAGATGGGGAAGACCAAAAGTCAGTTTTCCTATAGAAAAATATATACGTTTATTATATACGTTTATATATTTGTTTTTCTGGGCAGGCATACATACCAACGCGACAAAAATACAGTAGCAACAGGATTAGTAATTGGTTTCATATTGATCACTAAACTGAATGGTATTATCAATTTTGATTAATGAGAAGCATGCATAATGAAACACTTGAAACACATGAAATCAGAATTCTTTGATAATAGCAATTTTTAAAACATTATATTAGTTACTGAAATTTACGCACCATGTACAACATATGAATTTTATTCATGTGACTTCAGGCTTACAGTTTTACAACAAAAGGAAAAGTTTTTTTTGAGTTAAACAATGAACAAATATTTATTTGCAGTCATTAAGATAACTGAAAAGAAAGCTCTTAAAATAACTTATATCTTGAGGCAACAGGAAATATCTAACTTTCTCTAACACAATGTTTTTAACAGTCGTGTAGTATCTTAATCATCACTAATCACATTTAGGAGATTTTAAAACATTTCAACAGGACCTAATAACCTGGAAGAGAGATCCTGATGCCGAATAATGGATGAAACCAGACTATCCTTGGCCTACTGTGCTTGGCTGTTTATATAAATGTGCATGCTCTATTCAAGAGACCTTAACTCTAAGACTAGGACAAAGTACAGTATCTTCATTAGTGCAGCTTAGTGCAATTGTATTCCAACTCAACACTTTCATACACTGGAACCCTATATATTGCTGGTCCTGAGGATTCAGGGATTCGGGAAAACATGATTTGACTTCAGAAAGATCCAAATCCATATAACGAAGTAGATTATTGTGTGATTCTTCTGTCCCTGATTTGAATAGTATTGCAAAATACGGAAGAGAGGAAGAAGGGACTAAAGAGAGAGGGGACGGGCTGCATAGAGGGTGGAAGAATTAGGAGGGGTAGCCTGAGGAGCAGCAAAGGTCCTCCTGGCACCTGGATTCACCTCTATCTGTAGGAGGCTGGAAAGGTGAAGCCAGAGATACATTCCTTGGCTCTTTCCATTTAGTGTGAGTCTGGGACCTGACCGAGCTGACTTTGTTTGAGATGTTCCTGGAAATCGGGAGAGGTCAGAGCTCCTGCAGCTGAAGGCCGCGAGACCCATGGGCTGTGCACTGCAGTCATGGGTCTGTGCTCGGCACGACCGGGCAGACTGCACACCAAGAAACTTTTGATGTTTTTATATATTGAAATAAGTTGTTCGATCCAAACTATTGCTCAAAAAAGTAAGCCATCAGAGCTTGGCATCTGGAAAAAAATCAATAGTCACTGTCATTAGATTTGCTTCCTGGGCACCACCACCCTGACATTTTATGTTAAGGGCGTTCTAGAATTTACCAATTGTTCCACTCTATTCAGAGTCCTGGGTGGTTTCAGGTTTACCTACTGGAAGAGAAATATAAAAATTATCCTTATGAAGTGTGTTCCTTATTAAGATTCAAAAGCAGAATTTCACATGTTACTATATTTACTGGTCTATAAGACTATAAGTGTCTTAGTGCAATAAAAACATCGTGATGTACGGTGTTGTAGAAGTTGACAACAATTATTTGCTGTCAATAATTGTTTGCTGCCTAAGATTTTTGAGAGTCACCTTCAAGTTGATGGGAACATTTAGAAACAACTTTTTCCCCCCGAAAAACCATTCTGAAGATGGTACTGCATTTATATTTAAAATCTTTCTTACAGGATAGGTAGAGGATTACTATTTCAACTTTCCATATGGAGACACCAAGGCTCAAAAGTTAAGGGATTTGCCTAACATCATCAGTAGCTCACACGAAATGGAGTCCACAGACAATTAGGATAGTTTCTTACAGAATTGCCAAAACCCAACGGGCCTATCCAAATCTTTCCTTCCATTTCTTCGGTGTTGAGCTTTCTCAGTGTGGACATGATTCACATATAAAAATTAGTGCTACCATTAAAAAACACTAAGTAATGGCTTCACGATTTCTTTGTTAAAAACATCTACTTTAGTATTAGCATTTTAATACTTCTCAAGAAAACCAAACCTCTATTCCAAATACAGGTCCCCGCCGGATCGCAATACCATATTTTGCCGTGTATAATGCACACCCACGTTTTTGGCCCAAACTTTCAGGAAAAAACATCTTTCATTTAAATTTTTAATTCGATTTTTTCTTTATTTATATTTAGATACTTTTTTTACATATTATAAAGGAAGGTTAGCATTTATGGTACTATAGATTTCATGTAACATAACTGCAAAACACAAGAACAGATACAAGGTATTTCAGGTACTGCTCTTGTATAATGCGCACCCTTATTTTCCCCTCAACACTTTGGGCAAAAAACTGCATTATACCCGGGAAAGAACAGCACTTTAGTTTTTCTCAATGACATTGACATAGGCTTTTATCGTTTCTATCATGATGCTCACACCCTTAAAGAAAAATGATGAGAGGAAATAAGTGGCTTTCAAACAAAGACTCAAAGTGGCAAAGCAAAAGCTGGCCCAAGAGCACAGATTAACAATGCTGTAGTCTCCAAAGCTACATTCCTGGGAATCAATGCATTTGTAATTCCTGTCTTGGTAACTCCACAGGTCTGGTACCTTACAGCAGGTGAGTCAATGTGCTTTACAAGTATTGTGTGTTCTTGAAGTGTCCTCTTTTGGATTTTGGATTTGTATGACCTGGTTCTCTGGGTAGTTCTGCATGACAACCCACTGCTGCTTTCTAAGATTTTTCAGTTTGTAGATCGAGAAGACTCTGGGATATACGGTTTGCTGCCATGCGTATCTGCTATTCAGAGAGCTCTTCCGGCTTTCCCAGCTCTGCGGTGTCCTTGGGAGCCTCTGAACTGGCCTCAGCTATGACGGCGGATTCTGAAGGCCCTGGCTGTAAACTGTCTCCGTCCAGAATAATGTCTTCAGGATTTGGAGGGGGTGGACAGAAGTCTTCACCGGGGCAGATCTGCTGAAAGAGGGCCTGAGCCTGGCCAGGGAAGAGACGAGACGACAGTTTCTGGACAGCAGTTTAAAATGTATGTGCCTTTTTGGTATCGTTTAAAAAACAGATGGATTACACCCCATCTATTTAGGTTATGCAACTTTACCCAGTATATACATGGCCATCTAAAATCTGCTTTCAGAATTCCATGACTTTGCTTCCTCCAATTCTATGCATGCATTCCGGTGCACCCTTCCAGAGTAACATACTTGATCAGATTCTTTATCAAGTGTTCAGATAGTTGAGAATTTAAGACAGTCATTGTATGTGCCAGTCCAAATATAATTTCCCTTCATATTCTTTATATAATTTCCAACTAGAGCCTATTTCTGACACCCAGATAGTCTAATTTAGCATATAATAATTTTAGCAAGTCATTGTTCAAATGAAGAAAATGTTTCATTGTTTCCTCAACTATTTTCTTTTTTGGTACACTTTGCCCCCCCCTGGACTTTAGGGAGTATAGCACAGTGGTGAAGGTCATGGGTACTGAATAGCTAGCTAGGCGTGGATACTGGCTCTGCCACTGCGTGGTCCTGTGATTTGGGGAATGCTAACTCAACTTCTGAACCTTGCTATCCTTTTCTATAAAACAGCAGAGACTGCCCTGGCTGGTGTGGCTCAGTGGACTGAGTGCCGGCCTGTGAACCAAAGGGTCGCTGGTTCGATTCCCAGTCAGGGCACATTCCTGGGTTGCAGACCAGGTCCCCAGTAGGGGGCGCGTGAGAGGCAACCACACATGGATGTTTCTCTTCCTCTCTTTCTCCTTCCCTGCCTCTCTCTCTAATCATAAATAAAATCTTTAAAAAGAAAAAGATCCCTGTCACCAATGGGAATGAAACTTCCTTCTTCGGTCTTAGAACAATGGTAAGGCAGCCACTTCCTCATTCAACTGACGGATGTGCCAACTGCCTTTGAAAAGCTTAGACTCATGTTTCCAAAGAGAGATTTTCTGCTCTCTGGGTCCTGTCAAGTGCAGAGAAGTGTATTGGTATATTCCCATGAATCATCAGCTTAATGGAATCATAGTTCCCTGCTGGCAGTTTGTGTCAGCCTGCCCTGGACCGCTTCACATTAACAAAGACAAAAAGTTTGTGTCTTTCAAACTAATATGTTGATAGACCAACAGTTGATATTCAAAACAATGTTTATTCAGAATACTGGCATTACAAATCCATTTTTCTGAATGTGTCTTTGTAACATTTTCTTTTTTTTAAGATTTTATTTATTTATTTTCAGAGAGGGGAGGGAGAAAGAGAGAGAGAGAAACATCAGTGTGCGGTTGCTGGGGGTCATGGCCTGCAACCCAGGCATGTGCCCTGACTGGGAATCGAACCTGCGACGCTTTGGTTCGCAGCCCGCACTCAATCCACTGAGCTATGCCAGCCAGGGCTGTCTTTGTAACATTTTCTATTCTCACTGCCTCCATGGAACTCAGAAATGATCTCTTGTAGTTCATTATATTCCAGAAGGTAAAAAGATCTCATATTATAATTTAAAGTCATTTAAAGTAGCTTTGTTGTGCATAGAAAAAAGTTGAAGGGCAAACTGCAGAGATGGTATTAAATGAGATGCTTTTCTAGTCTTTTTTCCTTGCCTCCCAGAGGAGAAAGAAAACATTTCACTTTGCCTATCACACGGAGTTCTTAACACCAGCAGCCTTACCTGTTTGACTGCGTTGTCATTTCCCAAGCCACAGTCTGGGCCAGAGCAGACGTACACGTTGGACGGTAAGTCATTATAAGAGTCCCTGCTGACGTCTGAAGAATCTCTCATATTGAAGTAAAGGGCCCACAGAAGTCTTGGCTTTTCAACTTCATTTTCTAAACATAGACATAAATTTGACTTACTTCTAAAGCACAATATGGTTGTCAATTACCAGAATATGTAGCCAATTATGAACAAAGCCATGACTATATATCGTAGGAAATCACAGCTTTGTATATAAACAATTAGTAAATCTGCATCCAGATACTCTAATTAATACATGTGCGTGCCATTTCAGGCGACGGCTTTTCAACCTGAGATAAGTTAGATTTTTAACATTCATTGGATGATTAGTACATTACTGAGATTGAACTCCATTTGTATTCCCTTGGATTTCTAGTATTTCTCCTCACCAGCATCCAAGAGCTTATGATTACATTCATCTTTAAATGATACCTCTGAAGAAGGTCTGTTAGGTTTCATGTGGACAAACCGACTTCAAAAGTCATAGAGTAAGTGGAGAGTGTAACAGGATTCCGAGAAACCCACAGCGACAGAAAGCAGACTAGTGGGTACCTAGGGATGGGAAGACACGGTGGGGCTGACTGCTCATGGGCATGAGTTTCTTTTGGGGATGATGGAAGTATGGTAAAATGGACTGTGGTCACGTTTGAATAATTCCATACATATATTTAAAAACCCTGCATTTTGCTCTTCAACTGAGTGACTTATATGATATGTGAATGCTCTCTCAATAAGGCTGGCATTCAAAATAGCACATACAGGATTCAAACTTTGATGTTCTAACTCGCCAACTCTCTGTCCCTACTGGATTACAAAATTAATGGGAACTGACAAACAAATAGCAGAGATAAGGTTGGAACCTGCAACTTGTTTTAGCGCAGTCTCGCACTGAACAGTGAGCATGTATGTGTGTGAGATTGGGCGAGGCACAGCAGACACACAGATGAAATGCACTTGGTCCTTCACCTGCTTTTTCATGTTGCCTCCTAGAGGGCCCTAGCACACAAGAGATGCTCAATGAAAAACTGCTGAATGGATTTTAATCCTATCTTCAGGTACAATCAAAGCATAATGTGCTTATTGAAAGGCCCAACCTTATTCACCTCAATACCAAAAGCCTACTTCTTGCTACCTTACTAGTTACTTTTCTGTCTCTCTTCCTTACACAAGTTATAATTAAATTCGCTGTGGTTGAAAACAAAAATATCACTGGTAAAATATTTATAGAGTACATAATTTTCTTTAGTCTGAATCTGAACAAAATATTCAAATTGTCTATAAAGATAACAATGGATGTGTGTGAAGATGACCCAACACCATGAGGAACCTTAAGAATCATAAAGAAAATTCTAAAAGTATAATTACCTAGTTGATTAACTCTTACTGTTACATTGGTAATCAATGTAGAGAAATTCTCAGCTAATTATGGTATTCACTTAACAAGAATGCCCCAGTCCCCAATTCAGGATGAATAGGATTGTCTGGTATTTAACAGAAAATATCTCGACTACAAGAATACCACATATGTTATTTTGCCAGTTCATCCTGAAAAATCCGTAATTATTAGTGTGATAGCGTGAAGAAACTCTGAATGTAAAAAGTGATCCCTTAAGATACCCCTTTCTACTACTAAGATCTGTGAGTACAATGTACCACTAACTTCAGGTAAGCACAAATTAGGTGGCAAAACTCATTTATTGACAAAATAAAGGAACGCAAGGGACTCATACTTCACAGCTCAAACCATATGGCCCTTAGTGCGTTGACTGGCAAGTTGAGTTTCATTAAATCTTACAGGAAGATAATTAAACCTGCTGCCTGTGAGTTCTGACACGAGTCTCCAGGAGCGCTGCTAATAGTGGGCTGGAGCCTAGATGGCCTTTATTACTGCCCAGCGTGTTTCCGGCCGTGCACGCAGAGCGTGCATTTCATGAAAATTCCAGGTCAGTGGAGGGCTTTCACTAAATACAAGTTGGGGAAAATGAATAATGCAATAAGTTATAGGAAAGAAATTTCATATAGTTTGAAGCTTTGAAGAGAGACCATGAGGGAGATGAAAAGTTGACAGAGGCTGAAGATAAATGCTCTAGATACAAGGGAGTTATCAGGCTTTGACCTTAAAACCCTCCAAGAGATATATAATTGCTTCATCTTTCATTGAGGTCAGCTGGAAGGCAGTGATATGGCTGGAAAAATAATGCATAGGAAGGGAAGTACACAATTGTCACAAAACATTAAAGTTGGGGAGGTTGGCTAGAAATATAATCAATTGGGCAGAAGTAGAATTGGTTATCTGTAAAACAGCTCATTTTATTCATTTAAACGGGGTGAAGGACTAGATGGTAAGAGGTAATCTAGAAAAGGAGCTTGGGAGAATTAAACTGTGGTTAAGTACAGGACAAACAAGGGAGACAGGTGGAAATCAGCAAATAAAAGCAGCAAATAAAAGCAGCAAATGGTCCACGGACGCCTGCCGTGCTTAGGCAGAGGAAAGTGTTTCAGTAGGACAGCAGAGTAGGATGGGACCGAAAGAAGGAGACTGTCGCAACCTTGGCTGAGTCTAGACGCAACAAATACAAAAAGGAATTAAGATGAGGGATTTGACTTTTCAGTCCAACAACTGCTTAACACCCTTTCCAGCTACCAACAGCACGACGATGGGGCTTCCACAGAGGACTGCACAGAGAAGAATAGCACTCAGCCACGAGAAATGGAGATACACTGCCATTTGCAGCAACATGGACGGACCTTGATGATATTACACCAAGTGAAATCGGTCAGACAGAAAAGGCTAAGAACCACATGACGTCACTCATGTGGGATAGAACGCTGAAACTCGCAGACACAGACAGCAGTGTGGTGGGGACCAGAGGGAGAGGGGTGGGGGCAATCCAGGGTAAACGGGGTCAAATCTACGGTGACGGAAGAGGATCTGACTGTGGGTGCTGGGCACACAGTGCAATCCACAGACCACGTATCACAGAAACGCCCACTTCAAACCCGTGTGACCTTATCAACCAATGTGACTGCGGTAACTTTAATGAAAAAGAACACCTATATGGGGAATTTCTATCGGATGATACCACACTGCAGGCATTTCAAAATCCAGTAGCAATGAGACGATTGCTTCAGGTCACATGAAAAGTACCGATTTCCTGGGTAAAATTAAAGACCACTTAGGACAGGTCACATACTGCTCACTGAGTGCTTTGAAGGATATTCTGAAGAACGGTGATAAATGGTAATGGAAAACAATACAATCAAAAAGTTTAAAAAAGATTCAATGCCCTGGCTGGCGTAGCTCAGTGGATTGAGCGCGGGCTGCAAACCAAAGTGTCGCAGGTTCGATTCCCAGCCAGGACACATGCCTGGGTTGCAGGCCACGGCCCCCACCAACCGCACATTGATGTTTCTCTCTCTCTCTGTCTCCCTCCATTCCCTCTTTAAAAAAAAATAAAATCTAAAAAAAAAAAGAATCAGAAGAATCTAAAGCGTTAAAAGTTTAAGAACATATTAAAAAAAAAAAGATTGAATGCATATTGGAATCGTGAGCAACCACTAATTTCCTCACCTGCAGAATCAGGTTCGTTAAACATCAACCATTTGGAATTCCTTTGGACTAGGAAGTAGGGAAGGGTTTCGAGGGCTGTGATGTTCTTAAAGAAGCCTTGGCGGTAGGGGCTCTTGGAAGTATTAGTGGAACTACTTCTTAAGACAGAGCACATGCCAACAGCTCCGGCTGATACTTCAAACGTGAAAAAGTAAACAAGAGAGGTAATAGAGGGAAAATCTCCGCAACCCAACTGGAATTTCTCAGACGCAATGGCAAAGAACTGTCATATTTGAGAAGAAAATATTATCTTTTTAAAGTTTTCTAAATTTAATCTGTATTGTATTTTTTTCCATTACCATTTAGCCCCCTTATACTCCCTCTCCCCAGCAATCCCCACACTGCTGTCCAGGTCCACGAGTCCTTTTTCCTCTGAGCTCAGTCCCTCCACCCCCTCACATTATCTTTTTTAAATCCTAACCTGAGGATATGTTTCCTGACTTGTGAGAGAGAGAGTAAAATCAATGAGAGAGAGAAAGAAAAAAAAGAGAGAAAAGACGAGAAGAAAAAAAGAAGAGAAACATTGACTAGATGCCGCTTGTACACACCCTAACCGGGGATCGAACCCACAATCTGGCTTATGTGCCCTGACCAGGAATCAAACCCACAGCCTTTTGGTATACGGGATGGTGCCCCAACCTATTGAGCCACCCGGCCAGGGCAAGAAGATCATCTTTTACAAGAAATAAACTTCCTTGTCCGGTGAATAGGCTGACTGTCGCAAAGGCTTATGAAGTACAGTGCCACACAGAACAGAGACCTCAAATAAAAAGAAAAAAAAAAGCTCAAACAAAGCTATTCCTTGGGCACACATTTTACAACAAAATACTTACAGTGCCCTAAAGCATAAGGTTTGATATCATTGTCAAACGATCAAAACATAACGATAAAAGCCATCGATCTGTAACAGAGGGGCTTTTGCTGCGGAGAGGAATGTGCTGCAATGCGGTAAAAGTTCCTGCTGCTCTGAAGTTCCTTCTTCCCTGTTCAGGCAGGAAAATGAATTGAGTTCTCTTCTCCAGGTGACTTTGTCTCTCTGACCTGCCATGGCCCAGTGCTCACTTTATCTGGTGATTCATTTTCAATAACTCCAACAGTATTTGTTCTGACATTTTAATTAAAATATGACCACTACCTCATCCCGATGATAAAAAGGCCTATGTGTCAGTGAAAAGTAGCTTTTCAGTGCCTCGGTGCACCTGAGGACCCCTCTGAGCTCGCAGTTCTCACCGCAGAATTTCGCTCAGGCCCTAAACAATACATCACTTCAAATGGGATCACTTTCAACATTAAGATTAATGTTTAAAAATCGAAAATGCCTAGAGGATGCTGAGGAATGAACATGCAACTTCTCTGACTTGATTTTTTAAAAAAGGAAATGAAAAGCATTTAAAAGGTGAAGAACAATGATACAGGAGTCAAATTAAGTGTATTATCTGTAACTACCCCACATTAAAAATAAACAAAAAGTATTAAAAATTTCAGAAACAAAGAAGGGAGTCAGAGCTTTTGTAAGCAAACTAATTAAAACCAAGGATAAAATTATGGCCCCAAATTAGGCTTAGGAATATTATCACGTACCATAACTTTGCAATCAAATGTTTAACAATAATCTAAACATTTATATGAGATTTCCCAATGAAGAAAGGACAAATACAAAACCAATTAAATTCCAAACTAAAGTGAACTGAAGTTTTAGATTGTAGAATTCTATTCAGGCAGCTCAAAAAGCAGTTACTGATTTATATTGCTATTAGCTCCAGAGACGAGCACTTTGTTTTCTTATGGAAATATAAATGACCATCGACACACTATCTCTGCCAAAGAAGACATAAACAAGACGGACTAAAAGGAAATAATATGTAGGAGTTCTGAACAAAAGTAACATCCAAAGAAAATGAAGATATATGAGTTATTGAAGAAACTCGCTATAATTCCAGTGGACATGAAAATCATGCTCACTTCATATAAACGAGTGTCTGACAGGCTGTGTTTTAATCACGTATACACAGAATACACTACAATCTGCTCCATTCACAACTACAAGAGCTATCCTATGATGCAGGGAGGTAAGTGTAAAAATCTGTGGTTAAGAGCATTTTCCCACCATGAACAAGTAGCAGAGTGGTGTAACTCTTCTGAGACCTAAATATTTATCAGGTCACTAACATGTTATATTTAAAGGACAGCAATTAGGAAGCACCTACTACATTTGTCAATTAACATTTTCACCTTCTCTCAGTTGAACCAATGTTTTTTTTTTTTTTTCATAAACGAGGACCATATTTTCTGGTAAAGAAATAGATACTCTTTAAACAACATGTACAAAAGAAAGAAAAGTAAAAAATGAAAAAAAAATTCTGTATTCTTGCCCAAATTGAGATTTCCTGGCAGTCTTTTTTTCTGTGCGCATGGATAGGTACACATATAAATGTACAACCTTTGCACTTATATACATTGTGTGTGATGTCAATTTTCCTTTACCATTATAGAGGGAATATTTTCCCATTTTTAGGAAAAGAGCGTGCTCCTTCATCCTAGGAAAACATGTAAGCATCACTGCTGAACACTTCACATTTCAGTTCAGACTGCATAACCTTCACAGGATACTTAAAAGGAGTGCAGTGGTTACGTTATCGGTCATCATGAATATTGCTTATGATCATTGTTCTTACCGATGTCCGTTTCCGTATCTGGAGTAAACAATTTCTGCACAACTGGTTCCAAATCTTCTCTTGCTGTTTTAGAAGATGCACAAGTCAAATGAACCAGATCTGTTTTAAAAAAAATAATAGTTTGAGTTCCTGCTTCTCGAGAATTTCACTGTGTACTCAGATTCAAGGCACTAAGCTGGGGAGCAAGGCACGGCTCCTGACTTCAGGGTTTATAATCTAGAAAAACCGTAACAATATGTTGTCCTTGTTAACTCAACAGCTAAAACATAGGTTAACTAACAACCATGATAGAACACACGAAGGCCCAAGAAGTAGCAATTGGTGGTTCGTGTTGTAAAAACCAACACAGTAAAAAAGCTTAGGAAAGCATATATTCATGCAAAGAACTGAACTAATCCTTGTACTGTTCCCAAAAAGTGGTGATAAAGGATTGCTGAGGAAAATAACTGTGTAAAAAGGACTGAAAGTATTTATTTATGTACAGAACACTTCACATCCATCAGACAGAAGAAACCATTGATACAAACTTTACTGATAAGTTACCAACAAATCATCTATTCATTATAGGGTTCTCTGAGAAACTTTTTTGGGGAACACTGTTGGCTTAGTCTGAATAATATATATACTTGAAAGTCCATAAAATGGCCCAAGGTAAAAGAGTCTACAGTATTTTCAGGAATTCCAAATCACTTCCTTTTGCATTTATAAAATCATGGGTCTTGGACCTCAGAGAATATTTGGGTTAGGGAATATCATGTACCAAAAATAGCCCTTCACAGAAGTGAGTACTGTAGCCTAATGCGTTTAGAATTCCTAAAGGTGTACACACACAGGTAAAGGGAGGAGGAAAAGTTCTATGTACTGAAACAAAGGACTAAGGAGATCCCTAAAGGGCTGAAATTCTTACGGTCCCAGAAAGGGCTTGGGAGGCATGGAATTATGGCAGAAAGAATATATCCGAGAACCGTATATACTGAGAAATTCCTTCCCCCAAAACACCATTACAAAAATGCACCCGCTTTTTTTGTAAAAGTTTATTTCACACTGCTAGACTTGTTTTTACAACCCCAGGAAGGTATTTCAAAGTCTATCATGAGCACCAACATCAAAATAGAAAACTTGTTCTTAAAACTCATTCCACATTAAACCATTCTATATATATCTAAGCATAAATGGAGGGACTCTTAATAACCATGTGTGCTGAAATCCAATGGTGGGACGGTACTAGTTAATTCAAAAGGCATAATAACTTGCACAACAACGTGATTCCTAATTAAATTAAAGTTTTCAAGTGCTAGATAACTTTGGTGAGAGAGAGCTGAAACTCTCCAGATGCTGAATACAGAACTGCAAAGACAGAAATGTCTGATACAACACTCAAGAGAAACTGTGCTGTCTCCTCATCTCACGGTTTCATAAAACACCAACGATCATGTCAAAGTTCTCAGTGTCCCAGTTCTTTCCTATTCAATTAATGCAGACTAGGGAAAAAGAAGATAAACAGTAATATAAATAAGTATAGAGCTCTGGCTGGCATAGCTCAGTGGATTGAGTGCGGGCTGTTAACCAAAGTGTCGCAGGTTCGATTCCCAGTCAGGGCACATGCTTGGGTTGCAGGCCACGGCCCCCAGCAACCACACATTGATGTTTCTCTTTCTCCCTCCCTTCCCTCTCTAAAAATAAATAAATAAAATCTTTAAAAAAGATACAGGGGAGAGAGAAGGGGAAGGACAATTTTGAGGGAACTATGACTAGTTATGTTTTGGAATTGAGGAATCTATAATAATGGCCTGGGTTGCAGGCCATGTGTCCTTTCTGTTTCCTACAGTACGGCAGAGTGCAGTTGGAGGAGTGCTAGCAAGCATTTCTAGTAGTGAGTCACAGACCCATCAGGTACTTAAAAGATTTTTATAGCATTTCTTTTTAAAACAAAAAAAGATTTTACTTATTTTTAGAGAGAGGGGAAGGGAGAAAGAGAGGGAGAGAAACATCAATGTGTGGCTGCATCTCACACGCCCCCTACTGGGGACCTGGCCCATAACCCAGGCACGTGCCCCGACTGGGAATTGAACCGGCGACCCTCTGGTTCGCAAGCCAGCACTAAATCCACTGAGCCACAGCATCAGGGCAAGTTGGTTACTTTTAAACACAAGAGAAGTGGGATTTCTACTCAGAATTTGTACAACAACGAGCACATTCCAAAGGGACCCAAATGACCCGTGTAATGTATAGCAGCAGAATGACACAGTAGCGGATGGTGACGCAGATCCGGTATGGCCGGCTCTCTGTCTGTACTTGCCGAGTTGGTCTGTCTCTCTGGCCTCAGCATCCTTATGATTCAATGGAAGCGGTGGAGTGAGCTCATCTACCAGACCTCTTCCTGCCTCTGGAGTCGTATTATTCTAACTTCTTAATCATCGGCCATGATTTTCTCAATGAAGACGAATTGGAAACCAAAAGCCTGTGGCATCACAAATCCAAGTAAACACTTGCCGAGGACAGTAGGGAATCTGTTCCTCAAGCTTCTGAGATTATCGCACTCAGCGGCCACTCACTCCATGCAAGCAGCCATAAATTGTTCTAAATGCATTTAAAGAAACTTTACATACGGGCTAGTCGGCAAATGCGTATTGTTGTACAACCTAACTAGGAATGCAAAATGGATATATATAGAGATCAATGTCGCTCATAACTTGTATTTCCTATAGGTATAAAGGCCGAATGTGACTTACGTAATGTGGTCCACGTAAGAATACAAGACTGTGTCAGTAAGATAGAAACACATTTTCTTTACGGTGCCAAGAGAGGAACTGAGTTTGATGACATGTGGGTACACGAGTGGGTTTCTGAATCCACCCATGAAAAAATTCCAGAGTAACTCCAGAGGCAGCTTGTGCTTGCTCAACAGAATGTAATGAAAAACACCTTTGAATGTCAACTAGAGATCATGGGTAATAATAGCTTTACTTGTAAAATCAAATCTGTGCATCATGAAACTACTAATAAAAATAATTTATATCGTCACATTTTCGAAAAAAACAAATACAAGAGAACAGGCACCAATGATTGTTTTAGATCATTATCTAAAGTCATTTTTATGAAAAGTAAATAACATTTTCTTTATAGGGTCATAAAAGCAGAAAACATTATATAAACCAGTACATACATAAAATTCTTGATTATTCATTCTTTTATACATATGTGTATATATACTCACATTATATATTCAGGAATATATAATGATATCATGAATAATATCCTATAACATCAAATCCCAGAATAAAACAGCTGTTACTGATAAATTATTATTTATAGAAAAGATTTCAAACTGTCTAGAATATGAGAAAATACTATAAAGTGCGTGAACTAAATGTGAAATAGAAGGACTGGAGAGATAATGTTTTGCTCATTTACAAATGATTTTAAAAGAAAAGAAATCCTATATTAGATTCATTTAGGACAGACGAAAATATAAATAGAAAAGAGATATCAGGTATGTTCTGAAAGACGAACTGTGTGAGTGAAACCAATGACTTCATTTTTGGAAAACACAATAAATAAATTTCAAATATTTAAAAACCTCCATAACTTGAGTCACATAACCTGAGCAGAGGGAAACTTCAAATGATTTAGGATTTAAAAGTATAACCTTACTATTTTGAAAAAGAAAAATAACTAGGCTAACTTAGGGTTGCTTGGGAAAGCCTCGCACAAATGGCTAACAATCATTTCCTATTGGTGTACCAAAATACCAGCTTAACCCACACTGACGTCTTTCACGTACAACCACGAGCTAGGAGGTGCGCCCCAGACAGCCCCTAAAAAAGGCATTTCAGCACTTAAAGCAGATGTTATAAACGCCCATAGGCTACCACAACCACAAGCTCAGAACTTGGGTCTGATCGTATGGCATGCAATTTCATCAAGTTTGGCTACCTTGTTTTCTGGCCCTCTGCAGATAAGAAACAGCAAATGCGGCGGGGAGGGAGTCCAGTGAAAAGTGTTGTCAAGAAAGAACATTCTGACAGCTGCATGAGAACAGCTGGAAGACGACATATAAAATGTAGATGCAAGAAATGATCAAAGCACAGTGGTATGGGGTCATTTAGCATAGAGCAGATAGGCCTAAACGCCTCCATAGGCCTCAGCGCAAGGGCATCACGGGATGACAATGGTATATGATAACTAATGCTCACTGTATCTGTCAGCTGTAAGAAAAGGTTAAAATATGCTCCATACGCTCAGTACACAATGACAAGGAAGTCTGTGAGACATGCTAGAAAGAGAATTATTTTTAAAAAAAACTAAAAAATTTAGCCCCCAAAGAATACATTTCAGCTACCTGAAGAATGCATCTGGCAAGACTACAGTATACTATGGGTGCTAAATAAATGATGTATCACTCACCGGTGTTTACATGCTAAGGGGTATTTCCAACTGGCTTTCAAGCCTCTCCCAATTAAGCCTCAATTGTACTATAATTAAGAACTCATTCAACAAATCATCTAAAACAGTTTTATTTTGAACAAATGGTATTTCCAGTTTTCTTAGAAGGCATTTCTGCTAGGCATTCCTGGTCTGTTTGCAGGTGAGAAATCTGTTTTTGGAGCAGGAAATTATTCTTTTTTTTTTTTTTTAGTCAAAAGGATGTGCATTTTATTTTGTCGACATTGCAAATAGCCTTCCACAGAAGTTGTACCCGTTCCCATTGTCAAAAAAATGTATGATATTGCTCGTTTCCTCATGCGCCTCTACCCAGCAGTCACTCCAGCCAGACAAGGAGCCAAGTACACTCCTCAGCCGTTTCCCTCTGAACCTCATCGACTACATCTCATTGGGGCATAAGTGAACGCTGCAGAATCTTCTGCATTCTGCATTCTTGCCACACCCTCCTGGATTCTGGTCCTGCTGTAGTTTACTAACGGTCCTTTCGCTGACAGTCCTGACCCAGTGACACTCAGATCAGTCATTTTCCTCCTAGCTTTAAGAGCTCCTATTTAAGCCCTAGCTGGCGTAGCTCAGGGGATTGAGTGCGGGCTGCAAAGCAAAGTGTCGCAGGTTCGATTCCCAGTCAGGGCACATGCCTGGGTCGCAGGCCA